AACAGTCTAAACGAGAATAAAGGCTAAGTTAGTTGGCTGGATTACAGCTATGTGCTCAGTGCGCAGCGTTCAGAGCTGAAGTCAGGGGTTTGTTTGAGTGATTCTTCCTGCATGCTGCACTCTTTTATAGATTTTATAGACCCTCTGTTGGGTGACCAGCCTCAGTGTGTGGTGAGTGAAGCAGATCTACCCGTGAGACGGGCTGTGTTCATTGTAAATGCAGACCACACTTCTGTGTCGATAGATTGTTGCAGAGTTATTTGGGTTATCAGCTCAATTCAGTTTTTTTTTTGCGCTAAACGCTACTTTAGATGTTATCGCTGTTGCGGTGAATGTATGTACGACAATAAAAGTGGGACAATGGACCTTCTTTCAGTAGCCCGAATCTGGCAGCACAATGCCTGAGTAACCTCCAAGACAGCCTCCAGTTTTGCAAATAATAACCTGCTTTGAATAGAAGCGCAGGCTCCTGTAAGATTATATAGAGCGCCTGATAGAAGACTGTAGAGTGGAGAAATGAATGCTTCCTTTCTATGATGGCAGAACTGTAGTATCTCTGAAATACTCCCTCTCTCTTTCTCGTCTCTCCGTCCTCCCTTTCTTCCCTTTCTTCCCTCCTTCGCGCGGCACACTCTTTCCGGGACGGCAAATCTGATAATACACTGTGGATTTAGGAAGTTCCCGCAGAGAGGAGTAATTGAGGCTGGGGGAAGGAGATTATGTGGTTTCTCCTACTTTCTTAGATGAATGCTGCACGATCCCTTAAGAAAGCTAACATTCGGATTAAACATAACTGCTCCATAATCTCTCCCCTGCCTCGCCTCTCACTTTCCGCAAAGCCAGATGTCAAGACGCCTTATTTATCAGTTCTGTGGAGGAAGTGCCGATTTGAGGAAGTGTAATCTGATTAACTCTTAGGAGTCGTAGTTATCGGTGCAGTTGGAACAAAAGGGTGTTGGAACTTTTATTTGTTCCTTACGGAAACAGATTCCTTCAAGTTTTAAACACTTTGGCCCAGTCCCATTTCTTATTTTTACCCCTACCCCTTGTTTTCGAGTGTCGCCCCTTGTTACTGAGTTACAGGGTAGTGGTTGAACTCTTCCCTCTGAAATGGGACCCTCAGATAAAAAGAGTATCACTTCATTAACAGCTACTAGCGCTGCTCTGTAGGCGACCCTGCCAGTCTGCAGTGACAGCAGAGGAGGGTAAAGTTCAGCTCCTCACTGCTGGGCTTTAGTTACATTTAGGGCATCATATGATCTTCAAAGAGGGGGGCAATTATTTATTATTGCCCACCTCTAATTCTTCAGTGATATGAAGCTGAAGTCAGATATTCACCAGCTTCTTGTTTGAATTTTCCCGTTCCACCTTAAATGGAGCCACAGTTCTGATGCCTGAGGTGCCAGAATGTAACTGCTGCACCATTTAAGGTGGAACGGGGAATTCAGCTACCTAGCCAACAAGAGATCAGCACACTACAAGTATTTTTTAATGCATGTTATGAAGAAAAAGACGAAAATACACTGAAACGACATTAAACTAAGATAATATGATGGTTACTGTAATTTTTAACTGAGAAAATTCTCACATTTTTTGGTCTCTTGTTCTCCATTTGGTCAGTTTTTCTTTTTTTCTCATATCTCTCTGTTTGGAGTCTCTGAAAATTAATTACATAATCACATTTAAATAGATCAGAGAAATGACAATATTTACTCTACACGTCTACAGAATAATGGGCTCCTGTCACAGAATGGCAATTTTTTATTTGCTGTAGTACACAAACATTGTTAAAGTCCTCCTAAAGCTGAGTTGAAAGCATAAAAGCGTAATTACATGATTAAATATGTTTTATGTGTTTTACTTTATGCTCAAAAACGGCCATAATGGCACAAAAGCATCCCAGAACCTTAACACACATTCAGAATGTGAAGATTTACAAACATGCATAATTATGCAAATTGTAATCGCCCCTTAACCTCCTGGTTCCAGTCCCTGCCCCTTCCCTCGTACCACCCAGCATGTTGTGCTCGTGCGTTTTAAGTTTTAACCACAATTTGTTTGGAACACTGGAATGTCTCCCCAACCTACATCAGCTTTTTCAGCACAAACCTAGTTTTTGCAGAAATAAACAGTTGTCCATCATTGTGCTGGCTGATTTTATATGCTTCCTTTTTTCTATTTTTGCAATTTTTAAAAATTTCTCCCAACATACATTTTTATTAACATAAACTGAATTTTTGCAAAAACATAATTACACCTTCTTTATTAAAATAATTATATCTTTATTTATACTTAATTTATACTTTTGTTACACATGTATGCTGTTCGTTTTTCTATTTTTTGCAAAATTAAAAAAATCAATTTTTTAAACGTAATAGGGCTTTAAAAGCACAGTAACTGAACCGCAGGGTTGGAAAAGTTGTGTAAAAATGAATAAATCAGAGCACAAACATCTTTACAGGCCTCCGGGTTAAATATCAGGATATGAGCCTCCTGACAGTACTGAGAGGCGCGTCTTTGTGCCGAGAGAGCTCTGAGGTGCTCTGACGTTTCTCTGTGTGTCTCTGGTCTTTTTCTGCTGCGAGGGAAGCAATAATTAATGGCTCGTTTAGCTCATTTGAATAGCACTGCAGAGAGTCACAACAGCGAAATGCCAGAAAATCACCTCACTTGCTTTCGGGGGTTAATTTAGGATTGGCGGCGGTGCTTCGCGCTCGGTCAATACCGTGACTCTCCGTCATTGTTTGTGTAGGCAGCTCGCCTGACAGAAATAAATTCATTACAACTTAACCACCATGTCAATATGGAGGGAATTAGCACCTCCTGTGAGCGAGCAATGAGGAGAAACGTTTTAATTATAAAATGTTAATGATCTGCCTGCTTGTTATTTTCCCAGCTCCTTTCTTTCTTTATTTCCTCTGCCTCCGAGGCCTCGGAGGAGGAGAAAGGGCCGAAGACGTCTTCAGCGAGCTGTCTGGCCGCTCACCCCTGGAGTTTTTCATGCTGTGTTTTTAGCCTGAAGTCACTGAAATAAAGTTTTAATTCTCTGCTGCTACATGACCAGCGCTGGTGATCACGGCCTCGATCTCATTGCCGGCCTAAACGGCCAGCACTGAATGAATCATCGCTTTAATAAAGGAACTGGTTTATTTGTGGTGTCCGAGCGCGATCCACGCCGCTTTATAACAGCTCCTCTCCGCGTCTGGACCGGCGTAAGGCTTTGTGAGATGGGCTCGTGGTGTTGGTGTGATGACGGGGCTGGAAGACGTGCGGCTCTGTGCTCCGTGGTATCACAGTTTACAGCAGGACGATGGCTATCTCTTCATCGGGGCAGTTTGTCAAAGCGCGTTCGGGCGTCATTGAGTTACTCAGATTTGAGGCCGAGATCATAATCTACGTTACATTATTATTCACAGTTCACAGCCCATTTCCTGCCTTAAAAGGATGGCAGAATTCGGACTTTGATAGTTGAGCAGAGATGCTGCCAGACTCTTACTTGCTCTGTTGCTATGATTGATCTGTCGACTGGCTGTGTTGATTAGTTTTTGATGAAGTTTGTGATGCCCATCGTTCTGTGTGTTTCCCATTAAATGTGTTTGTGATATCTCCTTAGCATCAGTTTTTCAGCACAGACAGAATTTTTGCTAGAATGTGCTTCATTGTGCTCGCTGATTTTATGTGCCTTCTGTCTCATATTTTGCAATTTTTAAAAAAATTCTCCCAACATAAATACAATTTTTCAATGTAATCTGAATTTTTTGCAAAAAAATGACATGTTCATTAAAGTAATTTTTTATGTCTTTAGCTTTTATACATTTGCTGCTTAGAATGTCTCCCGATTGTACTTATGAATGGTTGTCCATCATAGTGCCGGCTGATTTTATACACCTTCTATTTTCCATTTTTGCTAATTATTTTAAAATTTTCCCCAACATAAATCAAATTTTTTCCAACACTATAATTACACCATCTTTATTAAAATAATTGTGCCAGCCCAGTTTGTATGTCCCTATGTACTATTTATAAATTCACTGTTTGGAATGTCTCCCCAGCGTACATCAGTCTTTTCAGCTCAAACTGAGCTTTTGCAGAAATATCAGAAATGAGCAGTTGTCCGTCATTGTGCTGGCTGATTTTCTGTACAAAATTATTTTTCATTTTTGCAAGTTTTTTGAAATTTCTCTCAACATAAACAGATTTTTTTGCAAAAAATACAATTACACTATCTGTATTAAAATAACTGTGTCAGCCAATTTTTTGTCTCCTTTTTTTTTTTGTAAATTTATTGTTTTGGGATATATCCCCAAAATACATCAATGTTTTCAGCACAAACTGAAATTTCGCAGAAGTAAACAGTTGTCCATCATTGTGCTGCCTGATTTTTGGTGCCTTCTGTTTTCTGTTTTTTGCGTTTTGTTTTTTATTTCACCCAACATAAATCACATTTTTCAATGTAAACTGTATTTTTGCAAAAATACAGTTAAACTATCTTTATTAAAATAATTGTGCCAGCCAATTTTTAATGCTTCCTATTTTTGAACTGTGTGTAAATTTACTGTTTGGTATAAATGTCTAACATTCATAATTTTTTTCAGCACAAACCAAATTTTTGCAAAATATGATTGAATAGTTCACTGAATGACTGGATAGATTAATTCACTGCTTAACTGTGCTGGCTGATTTTATATGCCCCCTGTTTTCCATTGTTTTGTGAAGTAATTCAGATTTTTCTCATCATTAAACTTTAGCAAAAAATAGAGCCACGCTAATAAGTCACTCCTGATTTTGTGTACTGATTTATACGTTTTCCCCAATGTATCAGTGTTTTCAGCATAAACACATTTTTCCAAAGTAAGTTATACCATCTTAATGAAATAATTTTGCCGATTTTATCTCTCATTTTCCATTTGTGTTTGAAATTTTGCTTAAAGTCTTGAAATTTGTTTTGCAAAAAGATCTAAATACAAAATGAAGCTGATTGACCTTCTGATCCCCCCAAGGTACGTGGTGTGAGCTGAACGTGGACGAGTGCCTGTCCAGCCCGTGCCATAACGGCGGGAGGTGTGTGGACGGCCCCAACGGCTACCAGTGCCTCTGCTCCAACGGCTTCATGGGCTCCGACTGCGCCAGCAACATTGACGAATGTGCCTCGAGCCCCTGCGTCCACGGGAGGTGCGTGAGTCTGTCTGCACCCTATCAAACGCAGCGCATTCACAGCCACATGATGAAGTGCTTTCTAATTGGCCATCACGGCGCGGCCACACGTGGCGGAGCCTGTGAGCTTTTCAGGACCAATTAAACACACCATGACTCCCTGTCAACTCGGTCTCAATTAGCCGTTTGCCAGTCTGCCACGACTCTGCAAACAAGATGGAATTAGTCATTACCACCTGTTTCTGGCTCCTCGTGTCTCGGGCCAAGTTCAACATGTGACTTTCAGAGCCCCCGAAGCCTCTAATGCTGAGTGTTTCAGATGGGCTGTGCGCTCTCTCAGTACATGTAGCGATGCGGAACAGCTAAATTGAGTACAACTATAGTACAGCGGCTGGTGCCTTCAGGTAAAAGCAGTAGAACACAATAGAGAAGGAGGGTGTTATCACAAGTAGCATTATGAAGTAGCATTATGGCTGCAATTTGGTGGCTAGCCGTTTGCTTTCGTGCACCAAAAGTCTTCACTGAGAGCCTCTATCAAAGGAAACCTAATGTTCCTCACTTCCTTAAATGAAAGGGTTTCTAAGATGTATAAAATGTAAACACTGCCGAAGTTTCAAAACAGTCCGTATTTCGTCGCTGTCCAATGAAAGCCATGTATCTCCATTTTTGTCGATTTTTCCATTTCAACACTGCTGTGTGAAAATTTCATGATGAATGGACCAACAGAAATGCTCTAAAGTCACTTGGAATAAAATCTCTTTACATTGACTTACATTAAAGGTAAAGAGTGTTTTTCCTTCTCCTGTAAAGTTACTATTCTGGAGATGCTTGTTTTCCTTTGGACAGCGACGATATGCATATTGTCACTGTCCAATGAAAACCATGTATCTCAATTTTTCTCATTTTTCAATTTTCTACATTCTTTCAACACACCTGTCCTTTAGATTGTGTGAAGATTTCATGAATGGACCAACAAAAATGCTCCAAAATCAATTAGAATAAAAGCTCTTTACATTGACTTACACTGAAAGGTGAGAGTGCTTTGCCTTCTCCTGTAAAGTTCCTATTTTGGAGAGACTTGTTTTCTTCGGACAGCGAAGATACGCAAACGGAGCAGCCTAGCTTTTTTTGTAATGTCATACAGCAGTTTAGCCCCGCCCACTGCCGGTGAAGTTATAAGCGGTGTTTCAGCCTGGACTGCTTTTTGAACGAGGCGCAATACAGTACAGCCAATCAAAACAGAGGTCAGCGATGTATATATGCATCAGTATAGAAGGTATAGAAACTCTCAGGGATAAAGAGAGGTTAGAAAATGGTCATGTAAAATGAATTATGACCGATTTTGGTACATAAAGCCACCATAAAATTGGACCTTGAGGGAGAAAAAGAAATACGAGATAGATGAGGATATCTTTCACACTAGCTAGTTTCAAATGATAGTTTTGCTGAATTGAGTTGCGCCACCAATCTGAAAATCATGAGTTAATTATTGAAGGGTTTAGATGTAAACAAAATCATTCGGAGTGGTTTGGTGTGAAATGCGCCTTTAAAAAATGTACAGAGTCAGAATTGTTCACCATTTGTAGTTGTAGGAACCAGACGTCTGTATGTCTACACTACAAATATCACTATTTTATCTGCTCTCCAGTAAGACCAGTGAACTTACATGTGGAACCAAAGATGAGAAATGTTTGTGAGTGAATAAGTTAGTCGTCGTTAGTCACCATGCGTGTATCACCGTTAGCCGTTAGCTTAAAACAGACCGTCTAACGTGGGCCACACAATAAAACAACTATCTAACTCGCTGTCCGACCTCATAAACTGCTAAGTATAATAGCAACTAGTTTGTTGTTGACACCACCTATTTCCATTCGCTCTGGGTTGCTCTGCGTCGACACCGGCAGGTTCACTCTCTCTCCCTTTTGTCTCTCTCTCTCTTTCTCTCTCTCTCTCTCTCTCTCTCTCTCTCTCTTTCTCTTTCTCTCTCTCTTTTCTTTAAGCTGCTGCAACTCATTTGTGTTTTCTGGTTCAAATCAATTTGGCTCTATGACATTTTGGAAACAGACCTCCTCAAAGTCTTCCGCATACGTCCGAAATAGGAGAGAAGACAGTAAAAATGAGCTGTAAACAGAAGCTGTTGCTGGCGTTAGCCGTGTTAAATGGCCATAGCTGCAGGTGACAAAAGCACGTTAGCCTGTGTGCATTGATCTCAGCTGAGATGCGGTTTTGAGAGGAAACACGGAGCTAAACCTGGAGTTAAACTTTATACTAAAAATACGTTTTAGGCCAAAACTTTATAACAAAACTATCACAAATCAATGTCTCAGGAAGCATTCATAACCATTTTGTGTAATAACTTAATGCAATGTAGCTTTTAGAGCCATTAAATGCTACAGACGTCTGGTTCCTAGTACTATAGTGGTGAACAATTCTGACTCGGTAAATTTCTCTAGAAAGGCGCATTTCACACCGAACCACCCTGAATGATTTTGTTTACATCTAAACCATTGAATAATTAAGTAATTTTGCAAAATTGGTGGAGTTTCCCTTTAAGCCCAGAGATGTTTATTCTTTAAATTTCCAATAAAAACAGCCAGTAAGTTCATTTTAACATGCGCAATTCAAAGCAAAATAATACATAGAAAAATCAAATGTTATGGCACATTTAATATTTTACTCCCAACATGTTAACCCTCTACTGCATGAATTATTACTTAAACATGATCTAATGTTTTAATGTGTTTTTGTTGTTTGATATTGCTTAAATAGTGGAAATATTTGAAACAAATTATTTCTAAAAATTTGGTGGGTTATTTGGTAGATTGTTGCCATTTGGCAACAATGCACAATCGTACCATAAAACGTAAAAAAAATAAATAAATAAAAAAGCACCATAAAATTTGATCTTTCTCTAAAACCATCCTTTTATTGAAAACAAGACTAAACAATTCCAACTTATACTTAGCGAAATGTACGACCCAGTATTTACAAATATTGGAAATTAATTCAATTTCAATTGTAATTGTGGTAGTAACAACATCATAATAAAAATTCCTGGTCATGTGATGTCCTAAAGTATTTGTCCTTTCAAGGTAAAAGACCCTTTTCCACAATTAAATAAGAAAACACAGATTATTATTACTGCTTTTTAGTAAAATTAAGATGAAGTAATTGTTGCCATATGGCAACACCGTGCAGTAGAGGGTTAAACTAAACAAATGAACAGAAATTGTGCACAAAAATTTGCAGAAGAACGCTATTTTTTAAGTGTGCCCTCTGTGGAGGATATGGACTTAATCCCATGTACTCAAGGGCTGTATTTAATCATTAGCTGATTGCAGTCCAGTACCTGCAGGACAGATGTATTTATTCCAGTGTAAATATCTTACTGAACTCCTGATGAAGCTTTAATTCAGCGCCGATATGGTAGAACATCTAGAACGTATATATGAATATTATGTATATAATGTATGTAATAATATTAATAATAATGTAATAATAATAATGAATGTATGTCTCAGATAATGCAGGTGATTTTGGAATGATCTCTTAAAGAGGCTAGATTTAAACTGTATTGAATCCCAGGTGTATAAAGCATCCCTGTCTGGGAGCAGGTGAGGCCTAGATAGACATCTGCCAGGGCTCTTGATTGGTGGCCTCATCTGGGTGCACAATCACCTCTAATAAATCATGGCGCATAAAAATGGAGTTTGAAGTTGTCGGAGAGCATTAACCGAAGCTTTCTTCATGCCAGCTGCTCGGACGGGATCGACGCTTACGACTGTCAGTGCGAGATTGGATGGAGCGGCCGCAGATGCGAGACTAATATTGATGTAAGTCTCATACTCTTCAAGCTTTGTTTTTCAAGTACGGGATGATGGCTGTGTGGTTTACAGTACGTTTGGTTCTGTAATAGGTACTTATTACTGTCCTGCATACAAATAACACATTTTCCAGGTTTTCCCAAGGCAAGCTTTCTGTCACATGTGAAAAATGCACAGGGAATTGATAAGTAATAATGATAATAAAAATAATGGTGACGTACCTGCCTGTTTTTTTGCCCTCCTTGATCTGATCCATCTATTTCGTATTGGCCAATACAATATTTATATTTCCTGAGATTATATAGTCGCACAGCGCACACTTTATGTATATTAATGTTAATAAAACCGACTCAATTCATCAGTATTTTTAAAATATTCAGAGTCCAGTGGAGGCGCTTTACACCCCCCCAGCCGACGCTTGGCGATGCACATAGTAATCTTAGGCTTGTGTGTAGCTGCTTGGCCATGGAAACCCATTTCGTGAAGCTCCTGACACACATTTTTTGTGCTGATGTTGCTTCCAGAGGCAGTTTAGAGCTCTGTAGTGAGTGATGAAACAGAGGATAGGCTATTTTTACATGCTTGAACACTCAGCGGCCCACTCTGTGAGTTTGAGTGGTCTGCCGCTTTGTGGCTGAGCTGTTGTAGCTCCTGGACACCTCCATTTCACAGTAACAGCACTTACGGTTGTCCAGGGCAGACCTAGCAGGACAGAAACTGACTTGTGGTGAAGGTGACATCCTATGACAGGCTTATTACATACCAAGGCTTATTATTCAGTAACTACAGGGACTTCAGTGCAAACTGGCTGAGCTATTCCTAAGTTATAGAAATCCGGGTGCCACTTTAAAATAAGACTACCCTTATAAAGCGTTCATGAAAGGTTGAAAATTAGTTTATTAAAGACCGTAAAATAATCAATAAGTAAATAAAAGAGCCACAGTGACCTGTTTTCCTCATGGTGAACCCACATTCATCTATACTCTTAAACCTCAGGTTTTGATGTTTACTGATTTTACTTTGTCTTCTCCGTCAGTCAGTATTCACCCTGTCCGCTTCATGACTGATACATCAGATATGACGGCTCACTTTTGCCCTGTTACAACTGCTTATTTATGATCTTTAAAATGTTTATGACCTATTAACCATTGACAAACTAATATGAAACCATTCATAAATGCTTTATAAGGGTGGTCTTATTCTGAAGTGGTACCAGAGTGTGTAATAAAACCCTGGCCATTTAAGGGGTTAAAGCCACTGAGCTCTTCAGTAGGACCCATTCTGTTGCCAGTGCCTGTCTGTGGAGACTGCATGGTTATGTGCTTGATTTTATCCACCTGTTAGCGATGGTGGTTTTCTTCTTCGGTGCAGCTGAATTCTGTTGCCACTTCTGTGATCATTTTGAACTTTGATGTTGAAGACTTTTGAGAGTTCCTCGTTTGGCAAAGAAAAGAAGTGAGTGGATCCTCGAACAAATCAAGCCTGACCCCTCGCTCAGAGCCCTGGTAACCAAACTGAAGCACTCATTTTGGACACATTCTGAGAAAAAACAGCTCATTGGAAAAGACCGTCATGCTTGGAAGAGATGAAGGTCAAAGAGGAAGAAGAGCTGAAGGATGGATGGAGATCATAGGAATCATGAACCGGTCATTCAGAGAAGCAGAAGGCAGGATATTTTGGGGAAATACTATCCAGGAGTTGGAAACAACTAGCCTGCACTTCATCATCATAATAATAATAATACCCATAATAATAAGCAATGGGTGTGGCTGAAACACCTGAACTCAGTATACTTTTGGCCATACAGTGTATTTTAGAACACACATGAACTACAGTTACTGAGATATTTCAAATCAGTGCTTTTAAAAAATGAATGTTTTCGCTGACACTTTAAAACATGACATTTGGTCTAGATTTCTGCCCTAAACTCTCCTGAAAATGTGAAGATGAAAAGGTCAGATATGTTGGAGGCTTATGTTCGTTTGAGCTTCTTTGACAGGTCCATAAGCTTCTTTGAAAGGTCCATAATCTCTTGAAACAAAGCAGAGAGATTAGCTCCTGCCCTTTTATACAGACGTGTTATTCAACAGTAGCGGAGATCTGGTAAGGATGGCTAACAGCTGTTTCACTGTTTCTTTCTATAAGAATCAGAACTTTCTTTTGAAAACCTCTCTTACATGAAACCCACAAGCCCATAATCCAACATCTATATGTATATATATATATGTATATATATAATTGTCTATAAAACATATAATTGTCTTCTTCAGTGGACTGTTCTGCGTTTCTCCCAAGAGACTTTGGGACCACCGCTGCTGCGGTAATTATGCAGTGTAATTATTCATCATTACCGACTGTCAATACGAGCCTTATAGACAATACATCATAACCCAACTAGCGCCGCAGACTTGAATGACGTGCTTTGTTTGACGCGACTCCGGATTTAGACTGTATTGACTTTCCTACAGAACGAGTGTAGGGAGCTAAAGCATCATGAAAGCACTGTACACAGTCCTGATTAGAAGGCAAGTGCTTGCTGTAATGCCTAATTGATTTAAAGCCCACCACAGCCTCAAATGTACCCTGGAGATGAAACAATGGGCTGCTCGCGAGGGCTACGAGGGAACTTCCAACGGAGTAAATCATTAGCTCCTGCCTTCTCCACCTAATGACTCATTCTATAGGATGCACTTTCCCTAAGCCTCGGATTTTCCCCATTAAATCATTATTAGATTGGGGGGATTAATTAGAATTAGGGCTCTAATTTAATCAGGCTGTCGTAAATCACAGGATGTTGTCATGGAACTGAAGGATATAGCAGGAAAGTGGAATTTTTGAGGTTTGTGCTTGTATAACATGGACACTTCCAATGACCTGAACTGCTGTTATTAAACTGATAGTTTGGCAAAATATCACATTTATTCCCTATATTCCAGCTATAATCTATTAACTAACACGTTTACCATTCAAAGTTAGCGTGTTTAGTTTTGCCCCGAAGCTGTGAGGCTAATGTTCACTGCACGCCTAAATCAGTCACCGCAAACTGGGTTGGGTTGTTAAATAATCTCAAAAAACTTGTGGTTTATGGCACCAAATGTCTAAAATATCAATACATATGAATTAGAAACAGTAGGACTGCAATGAATATTTGATAAAATTGGATAAATTGGATAAATAACTAATAAATGAGTAAATAAAACATTCTAAACTATTGAGCCATACAAATAATTAATACTTTGGCCTCTTTTATGAATCCACAGCCTTCCATGCACCAATTTAAATCAGTCAAATGTGAAACAGGCTGTTCTTTAATGCTTTATTAAGTGTTAGCTAGTCACCAGTAGCACTCAGGAGTCTAAAGTTTGTACTTTATGCAAAGATTTTTGGTCTTTCAGTGATGGTCAGAAGCTCTGACCTGTTGAGTTATGTTTTAGGGCTCTAGTTTGAGGCGATAGTAACAGTTTTAATGGCAGATGTAATCCAGATACATTTCCGTCCCGAGTGGAGGTAGATCAGATGTAGATCAGAGGTGTTTTAGATCAGAAAACCTGCTTCAGCTACAACACGCCGAATGTAGAGTTTGAAACGTCGTCTGTTGCCTATTCACAGACGTGAATTGACCAAAAGGCCTGATTTAATTTCTACTATAAGGTCAAAATGATGCTTATTTCCCCTGTTCAGTGTTGCCAGTTTGGGCAGGATCCCCCAGATTAGCATTTTGTGCCAAATCATATGAAAATAGTTGCTTCTAAATATTTTTTTAGTGGTTTAATTAAGTTTATTTAAAAGAAAAAAAAAAAAATCAAAATAAGTTATGGAATATATACAAAGACGCCAACCAACAATAAATCATAGAAATATTAACAAATGTGTCTTGAACTTTCTTAATTCTATCCTTATGGAATACTTGAATATTCAAAATAATATTTAACAGAATACTCAAATTAAATATATAGTAGTTGCAGGTCTAAAAACAGTAGTAGCAGCAAGGACTGATTTATGTTTCCAATTTTATTCAATACCAGTTGGTCAGTGTAAGCTTTCATTGCTTGTTAGCTACATTAGCCTAATCGCTCCAGTGGAAGACTAGATAAGCAAGCTTCAGACACTAGACATGTCTTGTTGATGGCCTACATTTGAGGGAAGAGACTAGCTTTTCCATTTAATAGCTCAAAGGTGAGTCCAGGCTAAGTTAGTGAATGGAGACCTGTCACTACACTGTTAGAAATAAAGGTTCTGTTCAGGTACATTTTTCGTTCATCAAGGTCCAATCAGTGTAAATGTTCCCTCAAAGCTCCAACAGTGGTTTTAAGGTCTGATTGTGAACCTTAAATAAGTGTTTCCAGGTGAAAAGTTCGTATTTGTACCTTTTCATAACCGAATGTTTTAAACAGAACAGTAAAATAAAAGCCTGGAGACGAGACGGGGTGTGTGGAGTCAGTACAGCTTAGAACATATCATTTCAGTGGATTATGGTTCAGTTATGTTCCCTGACTAAAGGTACTGAGATGGAGCCTTGAGGGTTCCACCCCAGTGACAGTTTAGTACCTTTATTTCTGAGAGTGTGATGTAGTTATCTTGTCTCGTTTCCAGGACTGCCAGTCCCGGCCTTGCCTGAACGGGGGCTCCTGCGTGGACCTTGTCGACAAATACGCCTGCATATGCACCGAGGGCTACAGCGGCAGACAGTGCGAGGTGGACTTAGACGTGTGCCTGCAGAGGCCTACGAATTTCTCCCTCTGCTTTAACGGCGGGACCTGCCTGGATGGCCCAGGATCCAATTTCACATGCAGGTGAAGCCACGGTTCTCGTCTTTTGAATCTCTGATTTACAGAAGGCCGTAATTGCTTTTGCCTCCAGTCTGCAAGCATCTAGTTTTAGCCGCAGTCATGTTTAGTGACGGGTTTGTATGTATCATCTTAATTCCGGCCTCATCGAGGGGGGCGTCAATCCCGATCGGTTTTCCTCTCTTCTGTCCAATTAGAGGTCTGCTGGGTTGCCAGAGTGATGATTATGAAGCAGCTGCTGTGGCGCGATCGTTTGAGTGTGTTGGAGTAAAACAGCACCGTGGGGGTGGTGTAGCACCAAACTCACCCACCCAGCACTCACTCATTATGCCCTTTTAGGCGTAATACAATGTCTTTGGTGGGTTAATTCCTCCCCCTGTGTCCAGACCCACAAATTAGCCAAGCGCTAATGCTGGCTGTCGTTCCCCATCCTGAGACAGACGCACAGACAGACTGATGGACCGGAGGACGCCTTGTCTGCCCAAACAAGAGCTCATTGGATTGATTTTCCTCAAATGGGGAACAAATGCCCCGTCACTCTCAGTACTTACTTTCATTTTGAAATGGCTGGTGGTTTAATGGCTTGAGCTCTAATTGCATTACGGCCTGCGTTCGGTGGCTGGCGTCCGGTAGGAACACAGTGTAAAAGTCGGAGCGACGAGCAATTTTTATTGGGATGCAGTGACACTATTTCATAGCCATGACAAGAGCCCTGACTTTCACTTACAGTGCGTCCTGCACTGCGCAGTTGAATAGTATTCGCACTGCTGACTCACACTTCTGTATTAATTAATATTTTGACAGTTATTCATGTGAATTAGGGGTCACGCATAATTTCAGTGGTCCCCTACAGATGATCTACAGATACTTCACAAACTTTCTGTTGATTCTCAAATGAGTTATGGTTAGGTTAGGTTAAGAAGTAGGGTTAGGGTTTGGTTTAGGCTTAAGGTTAGATTTAATAGAGTCTCTCACACTCAACTTCAAGTTCAGTTGCATTTCATTGAGTACCTTTACATGCACATAATAATCCGATAACTGCAGAAAATCAGATTTAGTCTGTAATCCGATCAACACGTTTACATGCACCTGAATAATCAGGTAGTGGCAAACTACCAGGTCTACATGAGTCAGACAGTAATCAGATTTCTGCTTTACAACCAGCCAATAAACTCACAGAAGAAGATGTGACGTAACGTAAAAGTCAAACTTCATGAGGGTTTTTTTTTTTAAATGATCGACCCACTTTACCTGAAAATATGAACATACATCATCTAGAAGATGAAGAATATTTAGATCCTTCATTTCGTCAATCATGTAGTCGGTTTCAGTGTTGCTCCAAAAGTGTTTTGCTGCTTATTTCAGGTACCGCCGTCTGTTTTCACACATGCTCAGACTGAGAAATCTCAAATAGTTTACACGAGAAATCTGATTACTGAGCTAAAATCCAGCCTCTTTATTGGATTTATTAATAAGACCGGAGTAATTACACAACCATTTGAATAATCAGATAACTGCAGAAATCTGATTATGATTGGATTATTGAGTGCATGTAAACACACTCATTGATATTTCGTTGAAGGTTAATTAAAGACAGAGTATCTACAAAGCATCTACAGTGGACCATCCAAATTAACCTCTTCAACTCCTTGAGACCACCGGTGGTTCCAAAACGCACTTTGTCGTATTCTTCATAACTTTCATATTTCATAAGCTACATTCTAAAGGTGGGGGTCGTATGAGAGCTGTAACTGTCTTCTTTCCAGTCAAATAGATGGGTGATGTAGTTTTAAACCCTTATAATAAAAGAAGCTGAACTCACAATTTTTTTTTCTACTGAAAGTCGACCCATTTTTCCACAAATCTGGGCTATAAACTATAAACAGATGGCATCTCTTCATTGATCTGCTCTATAAACATTATTTTTATAAAATAATACAAAGAGCGTCTAAGATTTTTGGCTTTCAGCAGCAAATTGTAAGCATATAGCAATATGTGTGATCATACAACACATTCTGTTAATTAGAGGAGAACATTTACTTCAAATAAATAAATAGATAAAAATAAAAATGTACATTTATTTCATGCAGTTACTGAATAATTTGCCTTACGATTTGGTCATGAAAATTCATATGGACAAAGCAAAATATACCCTGGAGAATAAGAGGTTAAAAACTCTTATTCAAATAAACAGAAGCGCAACATCTAAGTAATATATAACTAATGAAATATAAACCTTTGTTGTCTACATATGGTTTGTATGGAAGCCCTGTAGATAAGGTAGATAAAGTAGTTTGGTCGTAATTGTTTGTTTGTTTGTTTTTTTTCTCCTCTCTGGTAATGGTGGCAGGTTATACAATACCTTACTAATTATTTCATTAATATCTTATTAATTATAATGTATCTGATTAACTGAAAATTTGAGTTGTTTGTATAAAAAATGTACCCTACTAGTCTGTAGAAGTCAGAGACCCCCTTTGTTTATGTAATCAAAACTGTCGTTATGTAGAAGTGAATCATTTTTCAGGAGATATTTCTGAGTAGACAGACAGACAGACAGACACTTTACTGGTCCCAAAGTAAACAAGTAGGCAAGATATCATGACATCATCCACAGAGAACATGTGCCTCCTAACAACCACCTGGAAGACCCGGTAGACCCCAAAACTGCCCCCATCAGATAAACAGCACTTAAAGCTTTCATCTCTGAGAGAGAGGAGAAAATCAAGCTGCTTCAGATCTGAAAACATCCACAGGTGTTTCTGTCCATCCTTCCACTGTGAGAAGACGACTCAGCGCTGTGGGTCTGAAAGGATGTGTAGCTGTCAAGAAGAACCTCACTGAGAAAAGGAGACGGACACATCAAACAAAGAAGCTGAACGATGGACTGACCACCCCAGAGTCCAGACCTCAACACCACTGAATGTGTTTGATTACTTCAGAAAATCATCAACCAGCTTCTAAGACTGAACTTTGGAGGTGTGTCTGCAGATTGTTTGAGGAGCTGAAAGTGAGTCTCCTGAAAGGAATGGAAGCTGGAATAAAGATAAAGAGTGACTCACTGACTCTCACAGCTGAGACTGGATTTAGCTGTTGAGGCTTCTGTGTTGTTTTCTGCTTTTTCCCTGATGTTGAATATAAATAACCTGTACTCTGTGGCTGTTTTGACTTGATATTAAATAAAGGGTGGTCTCTGACTTCAGCATAGCACTGTACGTCTTTTGAAATGTGAACAATGAGAACCAGGCGTGAGATTCACTTAAAAGGTTGTGTGTAACATGCATTTTGAACCATAGAGTCTACATAGCAGGATTTTTTTTTTATTCAGCTGAGCTGGTATAATGACAGTGATGTTGAATTGGATGGAACCGAAGGGTGGAAAACATGTTAAAGGAATCTGAGAAATGTAATCTGTGGAAGTTGGTTTTAAAGGTCCTTTTTTGTCAGTAAAATTTTTTTTTTTATTTAAAGAAAAGTTTTAATTATGTGCCTTTATGAACAGTGGTGTGCCGGTAGTTATCAAAGACTGGAGGCCTGAGCCACAGACACACGGCACGCACAGCTTCCTTGTTCATTAAGATTTCACAACCAGCGCTGGTACGAGTTCTCGGTTAATTACAGCAGTGAAATGCTGAAATGATGCTTTGCTGCTCTTACAGACTCTCTTTTCTCCGCATACTTTTGGCCCCAGACTCTGTAGCTTGCTTTAGGCATGGCTTTGAGACAGCCGTCTAGCGGCAGCACCGAAAGCCCTGGGGGCGCTTTGGAGAAGGCATCACTTTATTTCAACACTGTTTGTACTTTGCCTGCTATTCCTCTTCCATGTGGTTCATAAGTCGTGTCAACATTGACATGGCTTATGTAGTAGAGAACAAGCTGCACCAGTAACCCTTCTGATCCTCCACGTTTGAAAGCTCTACTGGTGCTGCGCTGATCTCAGGCCTCACGCTAGGCCGTAAACATTTTCCGGCTGCTGGAAGAGTCTTAAAATGTCTTATGTTTAATTGAAGAAATTTAAGGCCTTTCAAAGTTTTAAATAGAGCAGTTTGATGTAGGAAGTAAAAACAGTTTACTTACCATTCACTCCCCATCCTGTACGGGCCATACAGAGAGACTAAGATACAAAAAAGCCTGTTTTGGATTTGATTGCTTTGCTATGTCCTGAAAACCCAGCTTTTTGAATGAGGCACAATTCAGAGCAGCCAATGAGAGCAGAGTACATTTACATACGTCAGTCTTAAAGCCACAGCTTATTTTATTCTAAGACATAAAGATTCAGAAACAGTTTGAAAGCTGTTTTTGCTGTATAAACATACTAAAGCATGCTTAGCGGACCTCAAATGCAAAATAATGTTGGATATGTATGTATATAGGTCTTAAATACACTGTATGGACAAAAGTGTTGGGACACCTACAGAAGCTCTTATGAATCCCATTCTAAATCCATAGGCGTTAATATGGAGTCGGTCCCCCTTTGCAGCTACAACAGCTTCCACTCTTCTGGGAATCTTTCTACAAGATTTAGGAGAGAGTCTGTGGGAATTTCTGCCCATTCATCCAGAAGAGCATTGGTGATGTTGGACGAGAGGGCCTGGCTCACAATCTCCGTTCTAGATCATCCCAAAGGTGTCTGATGGGGTTGAGGTCAGGGCTCTGTGAGGGCCAGTCAAGTTCTTCCACACCAAACTCACCCAGTCAGGCCTTTATGGAGCTGCTTTGTTCACTGGGTCTCAGTCATGCTGGAACAGAACAGGTTCTTCACCAAACTGTTCCCACAAAGTTGAAAGAAAACAATTGTCCAAAATGTCTTGTTCTGCTGAAGCATTAAGATTCCCCTTCACTGGAACTAAGGGTTCTAGACCAACCCCTGAAAAACAGCCCCATATCATCATCCCTCCTCCACCAAACTCTACAGCTGGCACAGTGCAGTCAGGCAGGTAATGTTCTCCTGGCATTCGCCAAACCCAGACTCGTCCATCAGACTGACAGATAGAGAAGCTGATTTATCACTCCACTGTATACGTTTCCACTGCTCCAGAGTCCAGTGGCGGCGTGCTTTAGTCAAACTCCTATTTAGCCGAACATTTAACCATTAAGGTGGTTATTATACTGAATGTGTTAAAGTGGAATATACCCAAAAGCACATCGCCATTGGCTCGAGAGCAGGGCAGAATATCAGCTACGTTCACAATACAGTGTTCTAGCGGGTCAGATCCATAATCTCACATCATGTTCTTCACTGCTTGTTACTTGTCAACCCTCAGATATTCTGTAGGAAAAATGTAAGCAAAAACCCTTGGCTTAGCAGCTACACTCGGCTCAAATGAGAGAAGAAGTCTTGACCCTTTGGCCCTCATCATGTCCTCCACTGTGTCTTTGAACTGCTGCCCCTGGGTCTCTGTTATCTCTGCCCTGGATGTCAGTCAGCCTGTTGGAAGACGACTTTGTGCCCGAGGCCATCAGGATGATCAATAACCGTTTGCTTATGAGCTGAGTGGACTCTAAAGGCTCATATGTATAAGACCAGGCACAGCACAAAACACAACAGGCATTACATGCTCTTGCAGCCTTAAATTAATGTTCGGTTCTCGCTAATGGTTATAGCTAATGATACAAACCGCATACAACTGCGCCTACTGACTATACCACACGTGTAAGGCCTTACAGAGAAATAGTGGAGCCGGGAAGAAGCTCAGAGCAAATGAGGAGATGCCAAGTGAGTAGTAAATTCTGCTTTTCACTGCTTTTCTCCACTGCAGACGTGTAATCCTAGTAAGTGAAATAGTCTTGAAGAGGAATTCCACCAATTCAGTTTAATTTTTCAGATGTAATCAGAGTGATTCAGAGTGGTTTGGTGTGAAATGGTTCAGATGTCTTTACAGTGGTGGTAATAGGAACCAGGGGTCGCCATGACTACAACACAAATATAGACATTTTATTTACTATCCAGAACCTCCAGTGAACCTACACGAGTCTTCTGAGTTTATATGGAATGATGATGATGGAAAATAGTGGAAAATCTGAAATAATAAGTTTTCTTTGGGGGCTATTTTGCCCCAAACCCCCTGCATGTATCCCCCCACCATGAACTGATTGGACAAAAATAGGTTTTAGGGCAAATCTGCTTATAACATTCTGTGAAACTTTTAGAGGTGGACAGCTTAGTTCCACCTCTAATCAAACACACCTGATCCAAATAATGAAGGCCGTAAGGAGCATCTGAATATTAAAGCCAGGTGTGTTGGATCTGAACTCTCCAGGGTGGGAGATCTCCAGAACCAGGATTGAGTACCCGTGATCTAATATTTCTCATGTTGAGATCGTTGTAAGCTTGTTATAAAATAATACCGTTTCTAGTTTTACTGTTCTGTTTTGAGTTATTTACTAAGTCCAGTTATTTTACTAGATTGGCAGATAATCTTGCTTGCTGTAAGAAATGAATCAAACCAAATTATCTGCAAATATACATCTGCCAGCATTTCAGGGCACCGATTTGTTCACATTAATGACAGATTTGAAAAACTTAACTACACTAATGTGAACCACCAAGTTAAAGCAAAAAGTCAGAATTCAACAATGAGGCTTGTAATGTGAACGCAGCCAAAGAGGCCCAAATCTGAACCTGACTTTTTTTGTTCAGTGCCCCTCTAGTCACTGGGGTGGGACCTTCAAGGGTCCATCTCAGTACCTTCAGTCAGGGAACATAACTGAACCATAATCCACTGAAATGATATGTTCTAAGCTGTACTGACTCCACACACCCCGTCTCGTCTCCAGGCTTTTATTTTACTGTTCTGTTTAAAACATTCGGTTATGAAAAGGTACAAATACGAACTTTTCACCTGGAAAAACTTATTTAAGGTTCACAATCAGACCTTAAAACCACTGTTGGAGCTTTGAGGGAACATTTACACTGATTGTACTGTGATGAATGAAAAGTGTACCTGAACAGAACCTTTATTTCTAACACTGTACTGAAGGTGGAAGTGTGTGATTTGGCCTTTGCATTGCAGTGAGACTAAACCTCACAGATGGATGAACGAATGAACTGCACTGATATTGATAAACATCTAGATAATTGGATGGAATTGAAGGGTTGTCATACCTGAGTATTGAGACACTGTAGTTTTAAGGTAGATCATTAACATGTGACATTTTTCAACAAATCAGCATATCTTCTCTAAAGGTGAGGACACACTGTAACACAGTCCGGATGAAATGGCTGTCGCCTCAAAGCAGGTGCAGATACCTTCATTCTGTACGTTATGGTCACCATATGCTAACAGAGCCTGCGATGCGCCCGTGTGTTCTCCACGTGCAGTCAGATAATTGAAACTCATCTTAATAATTTCATGAGCTGCTTTAACATTCGCTGTTTTCTGACAAACTTTTCACTAATGAGGTGTTTCTCAGCTTGAGCACCATCTGGGAGGTACAGTTTCCACAAGCATATGTGGCCATATGTCTCCGATTCGTTTCTCCCCCCCTCTTCTTTTGAATGTTTGCTTTTCCTGGCAGGCTCCAGGCTATGGCACGACAAGTCATAACCGCTCTTTTTCATCGTTCTTTAAAGGGAAGGTTTTATTTTGGCAGTCCGAGTTTTTTTTTTCCCACAGCGTTTAATGGCAGCGTCTCTTTGGTCCAGGTGTCCAGCCGGTTTCGCGGGAGATTTCTGTGAGGTGGACGTGAACGAATGCTGCTCGGAGCCTTGCTTTCACGGCGCCATCTGTCAAGACCTCATCAATGGCTACCAGTGCCACTGTCGACCAGGTGAGCCACGCTTGCTAGAATTCCTATTCAAACAGCCACATATTCCAGCAACAACCATCTTAAAGTGACTCTCGCTTTTCTGGCATGTCCTTTCCCTTTTGGGGAGCATTTTTATTTATATATGCACCTGAGAAGGTCCACTAATTCCTGCTGTGCTGGTTTTGAACTTGGCTGACAGGCAGCAGGAAAAAATGGAGCTTAGGTTTGAATATGGGCAGGGTTCATTGGTTTAGGGGGTTCAAAACAGACAGCCTAAGCCTGTCAGTGCGCCACGGCAAGTCATCCTATAAAGCCTGAAGTAAGTCAGAGGCGTCAGTTCGGGAGTTTTTCACACCACGTCGTATCTCTTTATGTATTAACGTCACACAGCCTCAAAAAGGTCCGGCTCGATGTTTAGGCCTGAAATGTTCTCAGAATCAACATCATACTGATGAAGATGTGATGACGATACTAGATAATTCACTCTCATCCTCAGAGACGCTCCTTCACCAAGATTAGACTGAGTTCTCTTTGAATTCTCTGTTACTCATTAGATTCATCCACTCAGGGAAGGGGGCAGAGACACAACACACCTTCCACATGTTGCATGCAATTACACATTTCCTCCAGAGAGGTCTCCAAATCCCCAAATCTTACAAAGTGCAGCTTTAAAGGTAATAAGCAAAGTGTTGCAATACTGCAGTGTAGGGTAGGTTCATGCTACAAGCCTAATTGCTTAGTTTTGGTGTTCGGTTCAGTTCAGATTTATTCATAGGGTTGACTGTGGCAAGAATAGCCTCACTAAGAGCAAGTGGAGGAAACCTTGAGAGGAACCAAGACTCAGTAGGAGAACCCATCCTCCTCTGGTCCACACCAGATAACACAACAAAACAGTGGATTGTATGTAATAGTGAATAAGTGAAAATACTGAATAATGAGACTGAAACAAATGTTCAGGTTACCAGTTGGATTATTAACAGATTATCTGGATGCATGTAAACATGGCTGCTGACGTGAATGTTTGCCCTTGCCTTCAGGAGACTGGGGTTCGCAGAAAATATGGTTTTATTAAAAAAAACAAAAAACGATAAACGCTCTGTCCATGGTCTGCCGCCAACGCCCAGTCTAGACAGAATTTAGACACAGCTTTTATACCATGCCACTGATTCCCGCCAGGGCCCTTGGTACCCTTGGTCAGTGTTCTCAGAGTCTTAGATCCTGACGGAGTCAGCTTTCTCAAGGATTTAGATCATTTTGTGAATACTTTAGTGTCATAAACTGAGTGTTCTGTCCTGGGTAGGCCTTAGGGGCCATCGAACACAGTTGACTTCTCAAAACAACTCTTCAGCAATAAAGTGCTTACCAATGAACAATAACGTAAAACAAGGGAAAAGAACAGAAAACTAGAAAATAAAAACAACTCCCAACAACACTGTTTACTTTCTCGCTCATCTACGAAGGCCCCAACCCAGGTTGCTAACGGTTTTGTAAATCATACACATTTCCATCGAAATGTATTCCATCATTGTTACTGACGAAAAAAAACAGTGACCTTCAAAGCAGATGGCAGTAGCATTTGTGGCTGCTGTTAAAAGGGCTAAGAGTGGTTGTCAGCTTTAGTGAAGGTTCACACAGGGTCACTCCGTCTGTTGTTCAGCACAGCAGGTTAATTTTTGCATTGCTTTCTTCAAAGTGTAAAAGTTGAAAGACTTTGCTGCCATACAAAATCACTTACACAACCCAGCCCCTCCCCAGCCCACCTTCCCTTGGGAGTAATTCACTCTCTAAGGCTGCAGAAACAGACACAGTCCTGCAAGAGCATTAAAATGTATTCAGCCCCTTTTCCCAGCTCCTTCACCGTGTGCCCGCGCAAGGAGCCGAAGCAAATCAATGCGGAGTAACACGATTGATATTCACTTCAGAGTGGGAAGAAAGAAGAGAGAGAGCGAGGGAATGCGAGAGAGAGGGGAAGTTGACTGGTGCGGCGCGGCGCGGTCTCACCGTACCGGTCTGTGTTTTTCTTTCGTTCTCTTTTTTTTACGTCTTGTTCCTGGCAGGTTGGACAGGCCTTCACTGCGAGGATGACATTAATGAGTGCCTGCCGCAGCCGTGCGACCAGGGGATGTGCATCCAGAACGAACCGGGCCATGGCTACACCTGTTTCTGTCGGCCCGGATTTGTGGTGAGCCTCTCCTCCTCCTCCTCCTCCTCCTCCTCCTCCTGTTCGTCTTCCTCATCTCCCAGAGAGACGACATTGTTTGCATCTTTTCAGACTAATATTTGTTTTACCCTTTTTTGAGATCTTTTTGCAGCATAGCTGTGGCTGTTTATTTACCCTTATGTAATTTCTAGGGCTCAACCGATATTTAAAAATATTGTTACCGATACCGATTTTAAAAAGCTGAAAAATCCAACAACCGATATCAGTCAATACACTGATGAGCTAAAACATTGTGAAATCACAAATAAATCCTAGCCCTAACCTTAACCTCAACCCGAAGCCTAATCCTAACACTCACCCTGGCCCTAATCCTAATCCTAACCTTAACCTCAACCCAAAACCTAATCCTAACCCTCACCCTGGCCCTAATCCTAACCTTAACTTCAACCCAAAATGTAATCCTAATCCTCACCCTGGCCCTAATCCTAACCTTAACTTCAACCCAAAATGTAATCCTAATCCTCACCCTGGCCCTAATCCTAACCTTAACCTCAACCCAAAACCTAATCCTAACCCCCACCCTGGCCCTAATCCTAACCTTAACCTTAACCTCAACCCAAACCCTAAACCTAACCCTCATGCTAGCCCAAAACCTAATCCTAACCTTAATCTCAACCCTAATCCTAACCCTAAGAAAAACAAATAGGGTTTTTCTGTTGTTATAACCTTGACATTGTACCAATAGCAGAGCCTTTTTGGTGCTATATAGAACCACATACAACATATTCTCCATCAGTCTGAAGAACAATTTCACCATGCAAGGAACCCCTTAAGCATGCAAATGGTTCTTTGAGTGTCCATGGTTCTGTATAGAACCATTGTAATTACTAAAGAGCCATTGAAGAACCATCATTAAGACGTCAGGTGTGAAATGACCCTGAGCGTAATATATTTTGGTTGATATGTTTTGGAAAGTTCTGACCCGTTATAAAGTCATATAAAACCCCCCAGGTGTCTGTGTTACTGCTGGCTGATTAAAATCTAGCTGCCCACACGTCAAATCGTGTTGCAGACGTCTTTGCTACCGAAGGGCGTTTTGGCCACACAGCCCTTATTATACTGAAACGTTCATGCAGAGCCAAAATACAGAGTCAAATTAATACAGATTACCTTCCACCATCATCATTACCACAGCACCCAGGCTCAGAAACGGCTGCTCTCGCTGTCATCCGATGTGTAATTTTAGTATCAAACAGTGTGATGCATAAAGGCCCCTCTTATATCACAGCTGTCTTGCTGTTTAAAGGTCTCTCCCACACTGACCAGCCCGCGGAAAGCATCCCCTTTTCACTCACAGTCCAACACTAGTCTTTTCTCACCACAGGGCAGGAACTGTGAGTATAATTATGATGACTGCTTGCTCCGGCCGTGCCCTGACGGTTTCTCCTGCGTGGATGGCATCAACAGTGTCAGCTGTGTTGCCGTGGAGACAGATGCAATCTCCATGCCTCCATGGGGCTTCACTCCCACCAGCCCCGGCGCTCCGTTCACCCCCGCACCGGTGGATGACCTGCTAGATGCTGAACTGCCAGCAGGTAGGCAAGAGATTTACATACATGCTCACGCACTCGTATCACTGCCCTGTACTGTACTACAGGCGAAGGTGCTACATGGCCAGAAGTATGTGGACACGTTTCTGTGTGTGCTTGTTGGGGATCTCGGTCGGCTGTGTTCATCCCAAAGGTGTTGGATGAGGTCAAGGTCAGGGCTTTGTGCAGTCCAGTCAAGTGACCAAAGTCACACCAAACCATGCCAACACAGAAAAATAATCATCCCCAAACGGTTGCCGCATTGATGGAAGCACAAAATTCTCTTAAATAGAATTAAAAGGATCAGCCCCTCGCAAAAATAAAGCACCGGCCCATTATTCCTCCTCAGCCCATTATTCCTCCTCAGCCCATTATTCCTCCTCAGCCCATTATTCCTCCTCCACCAAACTATGCATTTGAGCAGGGAGCGTTCTCCTGGCATTGGCCAAATCTATGCCTGTCTGTCAGACTGCCGGATGGAGAAATGTGATTCATCACTCAGGAGACTGTGTTTCTACACAGCTATTGAAACCCTTTCCATAAGGTTCCTAACAAAAAGTTTGGATCTCTGTTGTAAGTGTAGCAACCAGGGACCCGATCTGTAGCTCACTTTGTGCTACAGCACTTACTGGCTGCATTCTCTGAGCTTGTGTGGCTTTGCAGCTGAGCTGTTGTTTCCTCTCGATGTTCCCACTTCACAGAAACAGCACTTATGGTTGGCCAGAGCAGCTCTAGCAGCGCAGAAATTTGATGAACTTACTTGCAGACAGTATTATATTCAGCCATATTTACAACATAGCTAAATTGCTCATGTCTCAAGCTAAGCGCAACCAAAAGTAAGTGCTGGTCTGTCCTTTTTTCAGCATGGCTATGCACTCCAGAGCCAGATCTAATTATATCAGGGCAAAAGCTGCAGGTTGTGACTGAATTAAAGTATCTGGGTGTCTGGACTGATTCTAATCTTACTTTTAGAACTTTTGAAATAACCGGTTCGGTTTAAGTAATTTTAGATTTTATAGAAAGTCATAGAGCTCTGAGACGGCTATGATATATAGGAATGTCATGATCGTTCGACAAGTTGGACACAGGCTAACAAATCTACAGTGAAGCTACTGGAAATTTTATATTAAATTTCTCTTAAAGTTCTAAATCAGAGACCTAACAGCTTTCATAGCTGTCAAATCTTAAAAATAGACTTCTCAGTTTTAGTTAAACATGTTAACCTTTGCCTTGTGTTTAGGATATTACACATCATGCATCAGGAGTCGGCAACATGTGGCTCTTGAGCCTCACGCGGCTCTTTTACTGCCCTGTTGTGGCTCCACAGTTTAACAATAAATGGTCTTAAACTCTGGAGTTAATGTAGAACTGCTGATTCACCCTTTAACCCTGAAGATCAGCACAGACTGCTGGTCACCATAGCAACGCAGACAACAGTCTCGTCTAGCTAGTAGCTAAAGAAACGGCAAAGAGAGAGATTTAGGATTAATATTGATAATTTGGAGATGATTGGACTTATTTGCATTTATAATCAGTCAGCTGGATACGTTTAATCTGCAGTGAGAAACTGTCAAACACTAAAAAGTCGTGAAGCTGAAGTCGCTTCTTATTGGCCAGCTTTATGTTCGAATTTTCCCGTTCCACCTTAAATGGTACAGCAGTTGTATTCTGGTGCCTCAGGCACCATTTAAGGTGGAACAGGAAAATCTGAACAAGAAGCTGGTGAATGAGAAGCGACTCATAAAAAGTCGAACGTTGAGAGACATTTTACAAGAAACTGTTCTACTTTTGTGGAAAAGTTTCCTGCTGGAGATGCGAGAAAAGCGGCTGTAGCTGAGCTAAAGATTTAAGCAGAGCAAAGTAAGTCTGTGTTTTTTTTATTTATATTATATTTTTAGCCTATACTATCACATCAGCACATACTAAGACATATTTATAGCCAAGATAGTAAAATGGACATAAAATGTTGTGGCTTCTGAGGTGGTTAGATTTTTGTTGAAAGGACAAAATGGCTCTCTTTTGGGTTGGCTGATTTACAGTATTTTTTTTCTTATCTGTTGATGAATAAGCACTGAATTGGAAGACAGCATCCTGTGACAGCATGTAGAAGCTTACTGAGCTACTGAGCTCTTCGGTACATAGGCGTGAACTTCACAATTTATACTTTTAACATTTATATAAGCCGTTTATATGGAAAAACACATTAAATTTAGTGTGTCCAGATTTTTGATTGGTTCTACATTCGGCAGCTAGTTTACAATAGACATCCATACTTTAAAGCCCTGTAAAGTGAAGGTGGCGCGTATTATAAAGAAGTTTCATTTTTCTGTTCAGAGCCTAATAGCGTTATTATACTCATCACGGCCCAATTTTCTTACTTCATTTCAACCAATTCTTGCACCTTCATTGCGTTCTTGGCCTGAATCCTCCACGAATCAAGCGCAAGTTCTTGTCTTTTCAGCAAACGTAAGTAATTATTTTCCCACACGGACATGAGCCAAAGCAGAGAGTTCCCGCCTGTCTTTGGAGACAAAGAGCCGCTCCATTATGGAAGTCACATGCTATTTGTTCCTGCTTTGCATTTAGACATTGTTGGGATTACTTTCTTTCCTTTTTATGAGTTGGGTTTATAGTACCGTGTTCTGCAGCAGCAGTGGATGGACTGCTTATTGTACTGCCTGCTGAGCGCAGAAATCCTTTAATCCTTTAATTTAATTGTTTTCAATAATTAGTCCCATCAGTTCTATTTTTTTTTTTTTTCCTTCATGAAGCTTCAGTATGCTGCCGGCGCTTCCGTTTACGGCTGAAGATTTGAAGCGGCTTCACCCAATCGTCTAGGGAGAGGTATCTTTAAAAGCCAGTGGAGCGTTGCAGCTTAAAGGATAATCGCCGAATAATATATGGGTAAAAGTGTCAGTCAGTCAGTCATGTTATGCTTGAAAAGACTTGATTTCAGTTCAGATGAAGCAGCTTCATCAGATTTTTGCAGCTGCCTTGTTATGTTCATTGCACAATACTTTCTCTCGTATCAACAGCAGCAGTACCGACACCATAAACAAGAACATTTGAGTTCAAAAAGCAGCTGGCAACCCATAAATCACACGCACAGATATTGTATATTATCTGTGAAAATATTTTATTTTATTTTATTTTATTTCATTTTCATTCTCTTACAGTTGTTCTTTCAAAGAAAAAATGTAAACAAAACTAAAAATAAATAACTGTATTGGTTAAATCTATAGGGCACATCCGGAGAGAGCACATGTACACACACATACATATATACGTATATGCACACATAAAATATATATATATATATATATATATATATATATATATATATTTTTTAAATTGATTTTGGATGTGCTAATTGCTTTTTGGCATTTACAAAGTCAGTCAAAGCGAAACCTCAGCGTTCACGCCAGCCCTTTCTAAGAAACATGAACATTTTCAAATTGATTTTCAGGAGGGTAGAAATGTCACTCACTGCGGCGGCCGAGCTCGCGCCGGGTCACAGCGTTACGCCGCTAGAAATGTATCCAAGATTCTGCAAGTTATTTAAGGTGAGGCAAAAATCAATAGGGCTCGAAATGACGTCTCGTATAGGCTTCCAGTACGAGCACCAGCACCATGTGAGCGGAGCACTTTCAGTAACCGAAAGCACATGGAAAACACAAAGCATAAATATATAATAAACAAATAAATAAAACAAAGCTAAGTTCACTCGCCTCACAAGTGTCGGGATAGTTTGGCAGTTCAGGCCAAAGTTTGACGGCTGAAATGAAAACTGTGAAAGGCAAACACGTCTCAAGATAGAGTCCGTGCCCTGGGGAAAGGAGCGGCTAATTATCTGTATATGCTGTCTATAGAAATCAATGAGCGCAGGGTGTGGAAAGTCGATTTGTAGAGGACACTGGGGTGTCCACACATCCACGGCAGCTCTGTTCGTTCAGACAGGGCATATCAGGATGGTATTTTTTGTCCAAGATGAAGCTTAACCCCATAAACTGCAGGCTGAATTAGTCCATTGTTAATCTGAAATGGGGCCTGTCCCGAATGGCCTGGATCAGTGGTTCCCAAACTGTGGTACGCATCAGTGATGTTAATCTTTATTTAATTTCGTGAATTTCACGCCACCATTTTGGCAGGCAAACTGTATCTCAGTAAAACTGTAACCCTGACTGGGCTCTGATAGTAGCTACAACCCTGCTGGTGGATAAGGACCAAGCTAAACAGACCAGAATGACCACCAAAAAGATGAAACAACATGTGGATGCTTTAAATGTAGTCTCCGGAAAGCAATACGAGGGAATAAAAAACTGCTTGATTGGCTGATATCAAGGCAATACACTGATATATATGGGTTTATATGCTTTAAAAATTTGTTTTAAACTAAGTTTCTGATCATAAGATTATAAACAAAGTTCAATTGTGGTTTAAAAATATATAATTTGAGATATTTTGTGCATATACAGAATATCTGGTGAATAATATGCACTGTAAGAAAAGGCTCATCAGATCTACCAAAAGAAGTTAATTTATGAGGTTAATTTATGATTTATGAGGAACAAGTAAATTAACTAGTTTTATTCACGCCACATAAATACTTTAAATGAACAATTCTTTGAATCAGTGTCATTTTTTAGTTAAAAATAACTAGTTCAATTGCTTGATTGTCCACATGAAGCATTTTTTTTGGTAGATCTGATGAGCCATTTTTTTACAGTGTAGTGACAAAATATGTGTTTTTATATATAAATTAACATGTTTGTCTTTGGCCTGGTAAAATTTTTCATTTGTAAATTTACAGTAAATTACTTTCTCTTAGTTTCTGTTAGCATTACTTTTGCAGCTGTTATGTGAAAATACCAAATACCACTGTATTTTAGTTACAGCTCATTACTGTAGGTGTACAGCAGTAAATACAGTAGAAAATGGTAAATTACTGTGAAAGTAATGCAGCTAGAAAACAGTAATTTACTGTAATTTTACAGTAAACTTTTTTG